CCATTCTTTCATCGTCACTCACTCGACTGTCAGAGTAACTGTGCACGTGGTCGTGCACGTGGACGACTCTTTACTGACTGGGGGGAGATGGAAGCAGTGGGGGGGGGCTTTTAAAGGCTGCCTCCCCCCTTCATCTGAGCCAGTGTCTCCACTTCTCACAGTCATGAGGAGAAACTCTGGTCGGCGGCCCCGCCTACAGTACCACTGTGGACACTAGAGGGCTCCACCAACAACTGAACCATGTTCCTTCATTACCCTCCCCCCCCCCCCCCCCCCCCCCCACCAAACACACCTGTATATCCATAACACCCATCAGTTAGCCTTTGGTGCTAACACACTGATGAACGTTGTTGTTTTTGCTTCTTCCTCCTCTTCACGGTTCAGACCATGAGAAGGAAAAAGTCCTGGCAGTTAAAGCACAAATGAAGTGTGAAAAGGTTAAAAATGTAAAAAATCTGAGGAATCTGTATGCACCACTCTGACACCCTGTCTCTCACCCTGTCTCTCACCCTGTGTCCCCCCCTGTGTCCCCCCCGGTGTCTCCCCCTGTGTCTCACCCTGTCTCTCCCCCTGTCTCTCCCCCTGTCTCTCCCCCTGTCTCTCACCCTGTGTCCCCCCCTGTGTCCCCCCCTGTGTCTCCCCTGTGTCTCCCCCTGTGTCCCCCCCGGTGTCTCCCCCTGTGTCTCACCCTGTGTCTCACCCTGTGTCTCCCCCTGTGTCTCCCCTGTGTCTCCCCCTGTGTCCCCCCCGGTGTCTCCCCCTGTGTCTCACCCTGTGTCTCCCCCTGTCTCTCCCCCTGTGTCTCCCCTGTGTCTCCCCCTGTGTCCCCCCCTGTGTCCCCCCCTGTGTCCCCCCCTGTGTCCCCCCCTGTGTCCCCCCCTGTGTCTCCCCTGTGTCTCACCCTGTGTCTCCCCCTGTCTCTCCCCCTGTGTCTCACCCTGTGTCTCCCCCTGCTGTGTCTCCTGCAGGTTCCTGGTCCGTGATGGTGCTTTTTATGGAACAGAAGCCGGGTCATGACGAAGGGATACCTGGGTAAAAGAGACATGCCACACCAGGCCCTGATTCACTGCCACCTCTTCCTGGGCGGGGCCTTGCTGCTCCTCCTGGCCGCCTCAGCTCTCAGTTGCCCCGCCCGATGTGAATGCTCCGCCCAAAGCAAGTCAGTCAGCTGCCACCGCAAACGCCTGCCCGCCATCCCTGAAGGAATCCCCATCGAGACGCGAGTGTTGGACCTGAGCAAGAACAAACTCCGCCTGGTTACCCCCGACAACTTCTCATCATTCCAGCAGCTGGAGGACCTGGACCTCAGCGACAACCTCATCAGTGGGGTCGAACCCGGATCGTTTCGCTCGCAGCTCTCTCTCCGCTCGCTCAGCTTTCGCAGTAACCTGCTTCAGCTGGTTCCCGCCGGTGTCCTGTCGGGACTGACCAACCTCACCCGTCTCGACCTCAGTCACAACCGTCTGGTGGTTCTCCTGGACCATGCCTTCCAAGATTTGCGCAGGCTAACGTCCCTAGAGGTTGGGGATAATGAGTTGGTGTACATCTCTCAGCGGGCCTTCACCGGGTTGATGGGACTTCAGGTTCTGACACTGGAGCGTTCTAATTTAACCATGGTTCCCACTGACGCCCTGGCTCATCTGCACAGTTTGATGGAGCTACGCATGCGCCACCTGAGCATCGGCTTCCTGAAGCCTTTCTCTTTCAAGAGGTTGTCTCGCCTGCGCCGACTGGAGATGGATTTCTGGCCCTGGCTGGAGTCACTTCCTCCTCTGGCTCTGCATGGACTCAATCTAACCACGTTGTCCATCACCAACACCAACCTGTCTACCTTTCCTGGTGCGGCACTGCGCAACCTGCCCTACCTCACACATCTCAACTTATCCCACTGCCGCATCCAGCACATCCACCACGGAGAGCTGGGCCAACTCCCTCACCTCCTGGAGCTCCGTCTGCAGGGCTCTCGTCTTCTTTCTGTGGAGCCCCTGGCCTTCGCTGGCCTCAAATCGTTGCAGCTGCTGGATGTGTCTCAGAACCGCCTGGACTCTCTGGAGAGGGGAGTGTTCGCCTCACCAGACGGCCTCCGGAGGCTTTGTCTGGGAGGAAACCCGTTAGTGTGCGACTGCAGATTGGTTTGGCTGCTCAACGGCCACAAGCCCCCGTCTCTGCAAATCCTCGACATCCAGCCCGAGTGCAGCGCCCCCCAGCACCTGGCAGGGAAAACTCTGCGGGAACTCAAGGAGCCCCTGGTGTCCAGGTACATGACCTGCACAAAACCCCAAATTGGACCAAACACCACCCAGCTGTTGATGGCAGACGAGGGTCAGCCTGCCCGTCTGAGCTGCACGGCCGAGGGCGCCCCCCGACCCTCCGTGGTCTGGATCACCCCTCACAGACGTTACATCACAGCCAAGAGCAGCGGCAGAGTGGAAGTACGAGCCGACGGTTCCCTGGAGATCAAGGCGGCGGAGCTGCACGACAGCGGGGTGTACCTGTGTGTGGCCAGCAACCCCGCCGGTAACGCCAGTCTGTCGGCGTCTTTGGCCGTGAAGAGCCTGAGCCTGGGGGACGGAGGTCACTACAGCAACAGGAGCTCCACCTATCAGACGGACTCTAACGGCACCTGGGCGAACGGCACGGTGCTGTACAACATGACCGTGCCCATAGATATGAAGGCCATCATCATCTCCACCGCCATGGGCTGTCTGTCCTTCCTGGGCGTGGTGGTCTTCTGCTTCCTGCTGCTGTTTGCGTGGAGCCGAGGGAAAGGACGCCACAAGAGCAGCTTCGATATCGAATACGTCCCTCGCAAATCCAACGGAGCGTCATCCGAGGTGACGGAAACGAGCGGTCCGAGGAGAGTGAACATGAAAATGATTTGACGAGGACGAGGACGCGCGCGGTAACGACCGCACGGTGCACACATATCAAGGTTTTTGTTTTTTTTCTTCCTCTGAAGTGGACAGTTGTGTTGTACAGTTGTAGTGGGTGTCAGTCTGACAGTGATGTGGTGACAAAGTGGACGTGAATATTTAAGTCAACCATGAAACAGTGTTCAGTATAAAACTATAACCCACAGGTCACTCACTGATAACCGGCTGCACCAGGCATGTGTTCCGGCGGTCATGTGACGGTGACGTCACAGTGAAGGGGGCGGGGCTGCTGTGAGTGACCGCTGTCATCACTGCGACCCAGTGTCCAGTTCTCATCTTAGCTGCGCTGTGAGAGGAGTGTGTGTCCATGTGTGTGTGTGTGTGTGCATGCGTGAGTGCATCAGTGTGCGCATGTTGCATCAGTGTGTGTTTCCTTGTGCATGTGCACGCATTGCCTTTCCTGTGGACGGAACAGGAACAAACAGACGAGGGTCCAAACCTTTGGTTCTGGTTCTGGTTCTGGTCCAGTCCCCTCCTCAGACTATCGATGGCGTCCAGGTCTGTATGCAAAAACCCCAGTCGTCCAACTGACCAGAAATGCTGCAAAACTCCGCCCACAGCTCAGTGGCTCCCAGTGGTAGATGGGACTTTTTTTCTTCCCGACAGACGAACCTCCTCGTACTGATAAATCAGGCCAAGATGTTGCTGCAGGAACCTGATCCCTGACGGGACAGAACCGGTCAGTGACCAGGAACTGACCAGAGATTTACAGACACCAGGTGAAAACCTGAGCCCCAGATTTATAGGACCAATTGTCTCCCTGTGTCTCTGTTTTACTGCGTCTCTTTAGGTCGCTGTGGCACTCATGGTTGGGNTTAGATGGAAATGTGAAGGATGTCGTGAAAACCTTTTTTTTAGGACAAGGTTTCAAATGTTGAAGGTTTTTCTGTCCAACTTTTGTGACTCGTTGTTGTATCAGTGTTTTCATATGACAAATGGATGGGAATATTTTCAAACTGGAATAAATCCTAATATTAACCCACGACCATTCTGTTGTACCTCCAAATATCTGTCCTGTCTGTCACCACAGAGTATTAATGCAGTCCTAATGACCTTTGACCTTTACATTGTCAAATCATTCAAAGGTGAGAGTGAACTACTGTTGCAGCTTCACCGCCAGTCAACGAGACTGAGACGATTTAAACAGAAAAACCACCAGAACTGCACTCATTATTTAAAACAGCCGTCGGTCGCAGTGGTCACTGTCCTCACTGAGGGAAGAGGTCAGAGGTCATGGCCTGGCTCGAAGGGTCAGCAGAGCTAATTAGACTAAATGAATGACGGCGAGCTGTAATTAGCAGCAGAATGAAGATCCTGAAGGTGAAGGTCCAATATGTCCTGCTGCTACAGCAAAGACAGCAAAGACCTGATGGACGGACGGACGGACGGACGGACGTGAGACCAGGTACACAGGTTCACAGCTTCAACACTGGCTGTATGACATCATCACTGACTGACTGTTTTGATGTGAATCAGGATGACAAGGATGACCTGCTGCTAAACACACACACACACACACACACACACACGTGTCCTGGTTTACAAACACAGGTGTGGAGAATTGGAAAACAAGTTCAAAGGAATTGGAGAGCCTTTGGTCTGGGCCGTAGAAAAACCAACCTTAGAAAACAGCAGGAGGACGGAGGAGAAAAAAAGAAACAAAAAAGATGAAGATCTGATGTCCACTCTGCCATATTCAATTGGAAGCCCCTCCTCCTCACCCCCCCCCCCCCCCCCCACCCCCCCCCCCCGGGGGCGCCAGGACACTGTCATATATTTATACTGTCATATATTAACTCTGTCATATAATTTACATCTCCATCATATATTTATACTGTCATATATTAACAACATCATATATTTATACTGTCATATATTAACAACATCATATATTTATACTGTCATATATTAACAACATCATATATTTATACTGTCATATATTAACAACATCATATATTTATACTGTCATATATTAACAACATCATATATTTATACTGTCATATATTAACAACATCATATATTTATACTGTCATATATTAACAACATCATATATTTATACTGTCATATATTAACAACATCATATATTTATACTGTCATATATTAACAGTTGACTGTTTCAAATATATAACAAAGATAATACACTTTTCACTAGAGATGATTGGTAAACAGACAGTATATTTAAAAGGGCACACATATGACCATATATACCTGAGCAGGTGTCACATATATTTGATTATGATGTTTCAGTAGAACTACTCATCGGTTCCACAGGGTCACAGTACCGATCAGAACTCATTTATCTTCAGAGACGTCGATTAAACCATTTCAAATGTTTGATGTTCTTAAAAATGAAAACATATCTTCAGTCTTTGCAGAGCAACTGAAGCAGTAACGTTGCTCTAAAATCCCTGCCTGCTGTGTTGCTGCTCTCCACCAGGGGGTCATCCCGTCAGATTTGCAGTCCTGGATCACAACAGGCCCCTAGAGGCCTGAGAGAGAATTGAAAGATGCCAAAGCCTATGACACGCCGTTTTAAAATTAAAACTCTGAGCTGGATTTGTATGTCAGATACTAACGAACTAACGAACTAACTAACGAACTAACTAACTAACTAACTAACTAACGAACTAACTAACTAACTAACTAACTAACGAACTAACTAACTAACTAACTAACTACGTCACCTTTGCCATTCATTTGTATGGGTTTCATAATTACAGATATCCACAACGTACGTTACAGATATCTGTGGATTGAGAAATCCACAGTTTGATTCCCAGTCGGAGGGACGTTGTTGATATTGACCATGTAAATTGTTAAATGTTAAATGTTGCCATCAAAGCCTGACTGGTGATACTGGACACCAGCAGGGGGGGCATGACGTATAGGAAGCATTCAGTAGTGAGTCAGGGAAAACAAGGCCATTTTTGAAAAAGTAAGATGCACAGAAGCAGCTTGGTTTGTTTGACATGTAGAGCCATCAATAAAACACGACTCTTAGGCACAGTCACCAAAACTTCCTGTTGTAGTTGTTTTATTATGACTATATTCAAACATATTCGATCTGTCAAAATGACGTTTGTAAAACGCGAACTCTGAGCAGCTCCGTTTCCCGGTGACTGTTTAAGTGAACCGTCTCTGGCTGATGTAAAAAACACTGACACTCCTCTTATTTTCACGTCTGAACCGTCTCTGGCTGATATAAAAACCACTGACACTCCTCTTATTTTCACGTCTCTATCGCTAGAGGGCGTCGGGCGCCTTTCCGTCAAGTGGTGACGTATGTTCGCGTAGGACTGACGTTTCCGGAAGTAGACTTGGGACGACTAGCGTAGCTCGCTAGTTGCTGTCAAAGCAGTACATGAAGCGGGAATTAAAACAACAATGCCAGCGTTTATCCTTAAAGCATTTTTGACGTAGTTTTATTTGTTTTTTAGTGTCTCAACAAAAACACCGGAAAAGTAAGTCCTTCTTCTCTAGTAACGCTAACTCATTGGCTAACGACGGTCAACCTCTGTTTTGTTATGATCACACCGTTACAGCGTTCATGTCACGAGTGAACGTGAAATGACGTGGTAGGTTCCATTTAAATGGACCGTTGATACTGACGTCTGTTCCTGTCTGCACCTAATGAGCCGCTTTGTTGGACACACGGTCCATTCTCCGAGGGACTGGTTTCCACAAACCGGTCTTAGTATTCACTATGTTTACGTTGAAATCAGTCCGTTTCAGCAGAGACCACGTCATTTCCGAGAGTTTAACGTAGTAGAATACACAACATGACAATGTACACACCTTTTACACACGAGAAGTATTTTTAATGAAACTGAGCTGGATTTCAGTTTGTTAAAGAAATGTTTGATAAGAGATACGATGAGGTGTGTTAAAACCACGGCTCACACCCCCACCTGTAGTCACTCTCTCTCCTCCAGGACCAGACCCGTTGGCTAGTATTTTCTAACGTTTTCATCTGATTCCGACTGTAGTTCACCTGTAAGTACAGTATGTCAAGCTGTGGTTGTCTGTGTGGCTGCAGGTTGACTCGGGAACAACGTCGTTTCCTACATCCAGACCAATGTCTTCTGGCTGTCCACCCCAGTCTCCTGCTGTGGCTAAATCTGAGGTAACAGTCCCAGGAGAATGTCCGTTGCTGGCTGCCACCTTTGCTTATTGGGACAACATACTGGGTCCACGGGTCCGCCACATCTGGACCCCCAGGGGCGACCAGCCCATGTTTCTCAATGATGGCGAGGTTACCTTTCTGGCCAACCATACTCTCAACGGGGAGATTCTGCGCAGCGCTGAATGCGGTGCCATCGACGTGAAGTTTTTCGTTTTGGCAGAAAAAGGAGTTATCATCGTGTCTCTTATTTTTGACGGTGAACTCAAGGGGGACAAGAACACCTGTGCCCTGTCCATCATCCTGCCCCAGACGGAGCTGGCCTTCTACCTTCCGCTGCACGCCATCTGTGTTGAGAGGCTGAAGCACGTCATTCGCAAGGGACGCATTTGGATGCAGAAGGTACCGACTGGTTTTTGGACCGGTCCGTCCACACCGTGTCTAAGGTCCAATAACGATGGAATGATCATGTGTTTTTAGATGTCAGCCTATCATGCGCTCAGATTCTGAGGAGGCGTGCGGCCATGTTAGCGCTTCTTCTGGGATTACTGCAACAGAATAATTCATCTTCACACTCCAACTCAGAGGAGTAAGAAAGCTAATTAGATCTGAGAGCTCCTGCAGAGTAGGGGGGTGAAGGGGGGGGTGAAGGGGGGGGCAGGTAAAATCAGCTGACACACAGTCTACCCACAGCATTTATCACCCCCCTGTGTTCTGGATGTTTATGGCTGTTGTTAGTTTTACTGCACTCCTCTTGTCAGGCGCCGTCTCTGGACAGAAATATATATTATTATTTTTGTCAGATGCAGCAGCAGTTTTGGAAACTCCTTAGTTTGTTGTGTCAGGGGCTTTAAAAAAATGCCATAAAGACTGAACGCCACTGTTGATTACATTAAGGTTGGAACAGTGTTCTTCTTGTCAAGCTGTGAGTTGTAATTAGAAGTAGAGTTAGCTTTCAGCTAACGAACGTAGCAGTTAGCCACAAGGCATCAGCAGGCTGCTGCTGCTGCTGCTGCTGTGCCTGTGGCTGCGGCTGCTGCTCCTGCTGCTCCCCCCCTGAGGTATTACTTTACTATTGGCAAACCTACTGGTCACCACTGGCATTACAACTGTTCTGTCTCTGGCTGTAGCCCCTGTGTTTGTCTTTATCACAGCTGGTGCATCGTCCACCTGGTGGTTAAATACTGTAGTGAAGTTTAAACCTAAACAAATGTTGATTTTAGTCAGGGACAGATGTAAGAAGACACAGTCACTCCATCTGTGACTTCAGCTTCTTTTATTCCAGGGCTACAACATCATCTCAGTGCTGAGCATGGAGATCCAGCCAATCATGGAGCTGCTGGCCTCCATGAAGTCACACAGTGTGGCAGAAGATGTAGATGTAGGCAACACACACTCACACACACACACACTCACACACACACACACACACACACATACACACATACATAGCCTTGTCCATATTTCCTTCTTCTTCATGTTGAGACCAGTTCATCAGAGTGAAGGTTCTCAGTGTTGTTGTTGTTGTTGTTGTTGTTGTTGTTGTTGTTGTTGTTGTTGTTGTTGTCGTCGTCGTCGTCTAACTGTAGATTAGAGACACGGTGCTGAATGACGATGACATTGGCGACAGCTGCCACGAGGATTTCCTTCACAAGTGAGTACTGCAGTAAAGGCAGATTGTGTTGAGTATTACAGTATGTAGTACATACTGTAATACTCTTCACTCACGTGTCTGTGACTGTGTCTGTGACCAATACTCACCTCTTGTCTTCCTTGTCTTCCTTGTGGTTGATGATTCATTCATTCCTTGTACTATTGTCTGTGGTTCTGGTCTCCTCGTCTCCGTGGTTCAGGGCCGTCAGTTCTCACCTACAGACCTGTGGCTGTTCCATCGTGGTTGGAAGCAACGCAGAGAAAGTCAACAAGGTGAATTCACTGCATCAGTGGCTGCACACACACAGGATATATGTGTGACATATATATGACATATATGAAATGTATGAGGTATCTTGAAGCCCCACTGTATGTATGTGATATGTCTGTATGTTTATATATGTCATATAGGTCTCTCTCTCTCTCCCTCTCTCTCCCTCTCTCTCTCTCTCTCTCTCTCTCTC